TTGACTATGAAGAACTTGACTATGTGGGGTTTTGGAGGAATGTGGAACACTTTGGAAATTTGGGCTATAAAAAAGGTTGATTGCTGTAAGCAGAGCTTAACAGGCCATTCTAAGAAACATCTGGAAGAAAGTAGTGCTGAGAACAATGTAGTTCAAAAGTAAGTTCAAAAGCAAAATAAGGACTTAAGCAGCACTTGGGCTATTTTGGCAGAGTCTGGCTGGAGTCTACCCTAGACCAAAAAGCTTTCTTGAAGCTAAGTTGAAAACCAATGGACTAATTTCTTGAGGGGAAGAAATTTCAAGATAGCCTATAATGTAGAAACGGTGGCATGGCTATTAATGTTGAATATTGTACAGATTTAGTGAAAAAGAGCAAATGGGGCAGAAAAAAATACAGAATATACCGTATCAATTGAAAAAAAGCACTAGGAAGATTAATGTTGTAGCCTGGGCATGTGATGGAGAGGATCCCATTGATAAAGAGATTAAAGCAATTAAGGAGATTAAAGTGATTAAGGAGGGGCCTAGAGATTCAAACTAAAACAATGGAGAGAGTGCCTCCAGGGAAAGACCAAACCTAGTTAAGCCTCCAACTTGTGAAAGGAAATTGCTGCAGGGACCACTGAAGAGAAAAGCTTCTAAAATATATAAAGCAGGCTGGAGTCCATCACCAAACTTGCAGTCAAACTTGGCATTGTTGTTCACCTGGTGCTGGCTTTAGAGGCATGAAAGATGCAAGAGTGAAGGTGTCATTGGTTCTTCCTCTGCAGTTTCGGAGAGCTGCTGAGGCCAGGCAGCATGGAGCAGGGGTACCCCTGCCTAGAGAAGGCCCTGATAGGCCATTGTATGAAGCTGTGAAGGTGAAGCCTCTTTGTCAATAGAGACCCCAAGAAGTTCGTGATGTCAGAGCTATAAGGCATCTGCCAAGAAGACCTGCATACAAAGAGTAGTACCAGCACAAGAGAGAGTACCAGCACGCAGCAAAGCTAGAGAAGCTGAGACATCTAAGCCCTTTGGAAGTAAAGTCCCAGAAGTTGGATGTGGAGCTACTGGTTTGGTGTGCCCTGCTGGTTTTCAGGCTTGTTTTGGTCCAGTATTTCCTTACTATGCTGGGACTAAAGGTGTGCACTACCAAACCCTGCTTCTCTATTTAATCTTATATGGGTGACCTGTCTATTGGTGATAGTGGGGTACTGATGTCACCCACTATCACTGTTTTGTGCATTTATGTTTAAGATTGTAATATACTCGGTGCATTTTTATTTTTTTAAATATTTTATTTATTATTTTTATTTATTGTATGCATATATTTTCAGCATGCATGT